AGGGTGAAATGCGTGACTTTTTTGAGCTCAGCTGCCATTGATTTAGTTGGCAGGTGATTTCAGAGGACCGTTTCTGTTTCAGGTGTAAAAAGCGTTTCAGGGCAATAATGTCAGAGAGGGGCCCCCCCCCCATCTTAATGGGCCCACAAAGTCTGGATTCTTGGAGAATCCAAAGTTCTATTCCACATGTCCCTCCCCTTTTCATCAGGTTACATCGATTGTGACCCTGGTCAGAACAGTCAGTAGTGGGTAGCTGGGCTCTAGCTAGTTCTTCTGGTCGCAAGGTCTCAAACCAAGGAGCCATGGTTTCTTGAGATAATGAGTCCAGGGTTCTTTTTGCCCTGATTCTTTGATTTCCTTTGTCCTCTTTTGCTCCAGACCAAATAGTCTCTTAGACGGCCGTTCACAAGCGTGTACGTTCCCAGAGACTACTCGGTAAACGAGGGGGAAGAACTTTGTGAGCTATGCTGTGAAACTGACTGACTTGACCCCAGCAATCGTGACCCTAAATCTTCAAGCCAAGAAAACAAATCCTATGAGGTGACTGGTTATGTCTAAGACATACCTGCATGTGTAGTGTATATGTGTATCTATCTCTATGTCATTTTTGTTGTGAAAAAGTTATATACATTATATGTGTATATCCTTTACTAATGCATCCTTTTTTCCAGGGGATAGCTTAGTAGCATCAGCTACACTAGTCAAGCTGTGCAAATTTCACCCATCTTTGGTGCTACCTTTTCCAGCTCCACAAAAAGTGACTGCCACTTAGATTTGGACTCTCTCTGGTAACCATGGTGCACATAACCCTGTTCTTCTCATTTCATGAAAATGGAATCACACAAGATTTGTCTTTCTGTGATTCACTTATTTTGCTCAGCCTACTGTCCTCCAGGTTCATCCAAGATGAGTTGAGAACCTGTTTTTCTTGATGGCTACGTGATATTCTATTGTGTGTGTATGTGCCACACTGTTTACCTGTTGATCCTCTGAGGGACACTGAAGTCGTTTCTCTTGTTGCCATTGTGACTAGTGCTGAGATGAACATAAACGTGAGTACATTTATTGCTGTCTCCTCTATTAAATTTTAGGATATATACCTAAGGTCTTTGCCAAATTCTTCCACCATCATTAAGGTAGCTCAATATATTATTTTGTCATTAATTTGCCAATGTTGGACACAGTACTTTTATGGGCAGTGTTGCTGGAAGAATTAAGAAAGAATATCCAAGGAGGTAACCCCCAAAAACATAGTACACATTTTTCCTGCTAATCGAGTATTGAGCAACTTGCTCTGAGTTAGTGCACCCAGTGG